GTTGTTTGGTGCATAGTGACCTTTTCCAGATGGGTTTATTCTAGTTGATAACATTGGTCCCTTCTTTTTGTGTCTTGTTTTAAATTACTAAATTTACTAAGCTTTTTTAATATGTTGACTTACCAGATCTTCAAAACAAACAACCTTATGAGATTGTTTCCATTGTACAGGTGGAGAAACTTCTAGGCCCAATGAAGTTCAATAATTTGTGCAAGGTTAAACAGCAAGTGGAAAAGTTAATGAAAAGCTCTAACCTAGGTACTTTAAATCTGATGCCAGACCTCCAAAGCACTATTCTTATTGTGTTGCAGTGTACAAATGTTTACATCTTTTCAGTCTTTTCACTAAGTTGAAAGATGATTTTTTTCCCTTAGATATTGTTCTGTTTTAGTTTTTCAAATCTTAGAAATATTTTCTTAAGACCTTGTTGAGGAAAAAATGCAGACTGTAATCCAGGGCTAGCAATACTAGAGTACATCAAAGAAGATTCGTTATTCTCTAGGTAACTAAGGGCAGACCTTCACTGTATGGCTCCCAGCATTTATGTATAAGACTTTTTTTTTGGTATAAGACTTATTACAGCACTGTAATACACAGGTGGTGCTCAATATCTTCACTGAGCAATTTGATTTAGAAACATTTTGAAGCAGTTTGACAGGTACTTGTTGAGGTCTAGGAACATGTAGATGAAATAAAACTTGTCTGTGTCCCTAGCAAGGTAGGTGGGATAGCTACATTTTGACAAGTGTTGTAATAAATAATGTACAGTGCTGTGGTATGAGAGGGTGGTATAATTGGGGGGCGGGGGAAGGTTGTGTTATTCTGTACAGCGCCCTCTTTTGGCCAGATGAATTAGAAAAATGTGTTTCTTCTGGGCACCTGTCCTGGTGGTTGTAGCCTCAAGCCTGGCTGATGGAGCTGAATGTGGGTTGGATTTCAGCCCCATACCTCAGCCTTACCAGAGCCCTTTGTGTAGTGTGCAAACTGTCCATTCATTGGTTTGTGGTAGTCATGAGTGGAACTAGTTCTTGAATGATGTATTCTCCAGTAAAAAATATTGGCAAGGACATTCAAGTAGGAGGGAGCAACATGAGGAAATACAAAAAGATGTGAAAATACATGATGTCTTATGAAAGGAGAACTATTCTTTGGAGTGTGGTTTGTGTTCCTGGATTGGCTTCAGATGAGGTTGGAGAAGAGGGTTGGAGGTGGACTGTGATTGGTTTAGGAGGCTGTTGTAGATAGAATAATGGCCTCCTAAGATGTCACCAGAACCCATGAATAAGTTACATGTTATGGGGTAATTAACATTGCTAATCAGTTGACCTTAAAATAGGGTGATTGATCTGGGTTATCTAGGTAGGCCTAATGTAATCAATCACCTAAGGATCCTTAAATGTGAAGGAGGGAGGCAGAAGAGTCAGTGTCAGAGTGCTGTGAAAGGAGAGAGACTTGCCCGTTCATTGCTTTCTGGCTTTGAAGATGGAAAGGGGCCATAAGCAAGGCAAGTGGGCAGCCTCTAGAAAATGGAAAAAGCAAGGAAATGGATTGTCTACTAGAGTCACTAGAAAGAATGTAGCCCTGAAAACACCTTGATTTTAGCTGAGTGAGACTCATTTTGGACTTCTGTCTTCCGTAATTGTAGGTTAATAAATTTATGTTGGTTTAAGCCAACTGTTTATGGTAATTTGGTATAGCAACAATGGGAAATTTATAGAGGCTGTGGTCGGAGGCTGTATCTGGAAGTAGTGAAGTGTTTCAGGGGTGGGGGAGGGGCATTTAGAGAACATATCCAAGCTATAAATGGTCTGGAGGCCAAGAGACTAGGTAGGAGATTCTTGGCAGAGTCTAGGTCTAGGGTCCTCTGACAGGCAGATGCCAAGATGGGATGAAGTGAGTTGGAGAGTTATTGGGGGGGGGGGTTGGATTTCTGAACATGAAGGAAAGGGAACAGAAATAGGAAAGGAAAGGAGAGAGGATGGAAGGAGGAACAGGGAGAGAGTGTCTCAGGTTGCAGAACAGTTCGAAGAAAGCTTCATGTGGTACGAGCCAAAGTTGCCCATTAGAGGAATTTCCTGTCCCTGGAATGGGCCTGTAGCCCTAGTGCTGCTGTGTTCAGTCATTGGGAGCAGGCCCAGGGAGCATGGTGTTTTCAGTGTGGACCTAGGCAGTGATTGCTGGTTTTGTCAGTCTCCTGTCCGCCTCACAGTGGGTGATGAGTTTCTAAGGCCACCACAGAAAGGGTGTGTTCTGGAGTGACTAATGGAGAGGTGGGGACTAAAGCTCTGAGAGATGTTGAGCAACTCTTCACTGTTGCTGAATGACTTAAACTCTCTGTATCTGAGATTGGTTTAAATTTATATCATAATCAGCTGTGCTATATAGACACTGTGCTTTGTAATCCAGGTTTGTATTTTCTTAATCAGAATTTTGGTATAATTTGAAGAAGATTGCTTTTCTTCACTGATTGCAATAGGTGGAACATTCTAGGTTTTTATGCTTTTTTCTCCTGCTTTTGGATGTAAAAGCATTTATTCATTTTTGTGAGAAAGAAGAGAGTTGTAAGAAGTATATAGGCATACCTCAGTGTCTCTGTGTCTCTGACACTGCAGGTTCATTCCAGCCATCACTATAAAGCAAGCTGTAATCTTGTTGCTGGTGGACGGCCTTGCCTTCAATTTGTTAAAAATGCAACATCTGTGAAGCTCAGTAGAGTGAAGCACAATAAAATGAGATGTACCTGTAATAAGAGAGTGGTTAAGTGATAATTCACCGTATTCTTCACTCTTTCTCCTCTGACTTACTCACCAATGTTCGTAGTCTTTAACAGGTACCACCACTGAAACATCCATTCTTTGACTTCAGAAGAATGCTACAGATTTTTGGGGGAATGTGAAGGTTGGAAAGACAAGAGTGATTTTTCTAAGAAAAGCAAGGAATGAAGGGAATGGGAAAGAGAGTGTTATTTTGTTTGTAGGAACCAAAGCTGTCTTCTGTTGTGGTTTCTAAGTATTCTTGGAAATATAATTGAGAGTCTTCTAGAACCGAGTCAGCAAACCTTTTCTGTAAAGGGCCAGTCAATACAGACATATCTTGGTTTATTGCGCTTCACAGGTGTTCCTTTTTTACAAACTGAAGGCAAGATCCTCCGTGAGCAAAAAGACTTCTTCCCTTTATTGCGATGCCCACTCTGTTGTAGTATTCTAGAACTGAACCTGAAGTATCTTTGAGGTATGCCTGAACTAGGTGTGGTCCATACCCTCTCTGTCACAACTACATAGACAATACATAAATGAATGGTTGTAGCTGTGCTCCAGTAAAACCATTTACAGAAATAGGCACCAAATTGGATTGGACCCTTGGGCCATACTCTGCTGACCCTTGTTCTAGAGCATTAGCAAAGTAAAAATGTCCTTTGGTTTTTTTGGTGACTTCTTTGTAAGGCTGTAGTTTATAGATTTACATTGTCATGGCTGAGAGAGTGCTGGAACAGTATTCTTCCAGACTCTCCCTCAAGGTTAATGGACTTTAGAAAGGTGTGCAGTGTTTCATTTGAATAGTCCCTTTGCCTGTATCTCTGAGAGGGATTCAAGAGTGTGTTGCCTGTCCAGCTTCTGTAAGCTTTCCATTCTCTGAAAACAGCTTTTTAGCTGTTAATAGCACATGTGCCAGGGTGGACCATATGTATTGCACCTAATTTTAGTGTCCTTTGGAAGATTATTTTCTAAATGAGATAATTTTCTTCTAATGCTAGTACATTGATTCTGTCTTCTCTCCAATTTTATCTGGAATGATTTGTAGGGGTTTAGGTAATGTTTTAATGTTTGTGATTTCAGCATTGGGGGCCAGAGAGTAATGCTGTGTGGGCTATAGTAAAAATCTTGGGAAAGAAGATGTGTAGAGTATAAAATGAAATACAAGCTGTCATCCCTTACTGCCTGGAGTATAATTTAAATAAATGAACCTTACGAATGCAGCCTTCCCCTTTTGTGAATCATGAATAATTTGGCAGCCGGTTCCCAGATTTGAACAGTAGTTTTGCTTTCAGCATCTGTGGTAAAATAATTCTCCTGAAGAGACAAAATGAAATTCAGAAAATTGGGTTGATGCCAATAAGGAACATCAATAATGCACTTAGATAATGTGAAGTTGAAGGACACAGGGTTACTTACTGTGGCTTCAGAGCGTGACAGAGACATTTCCCTGGTTATTATTAAATAATACCCCTCCTTCAACATATTCCCAAATGCGTAGTTGTCAGGTTGGATTTCGCATGCCACTGACTTATGGTTAAACTTTGAAAGGTTTGTGCTAGCACCATAGATTTTTCCAACTAACTTAAATCTATTCTCCAAAGTGTGTAAATAGAACTATTCTCACCATGGTCTGTGGTTTATAGTCATTTTACCTCTTATTTTTTGAACTGACACTCCTTGAAGGATGGGCTGAAAGTAGATTTTCTTCCTAAAATTGATGTGGTGATGACTGTTTACTGTGTTAACATTTTAGAGGTGCAGGATGTTCAAGGTATTATATATGTATTGAGTGAACGAAGGCTTTTTTTTTTGGTTATTTGAAATTTTTACAAACTTATATTTTGGATAACAACTTCCTCAAGGCATGTTTCCTTTCAAAAAGAATAATGGTTTTCAGTTAGAGTTGATGATTGAATTTAATCCTGTAGTATCAACAGTGAGCTAGGCCAAAAAAAAAAGTTGTTATGAAACAAATGAGTTATGTAGTATGTTATTTTGTCTTATCTGACATAGTCCCCATTTTCTTTTCAGATAAATGTAAATGAAATTACAAGATTTTCAGATTTCCCCTTATCTAAGAAAACATTGAAAGGTAGGTAAACTGTGATCTTGGGACATATTGGATTTTTTGATGCTGGTTTTTGGAGAAGGTTTTTAATGTGCTTTATTTCTTTGATCATGCCATATTTTAATGGGTACACAGTGCCTTCACTTGGTATCAATTATGAATTGGTTTTGAGATAGTTATACCAGCTGGGATGATTTCTCATCTTTCCATTCCTTTGGGGTGACTCTGCCAACGGGGGACAGGTTCCATTCTATTCCAATCTGTGTTGCTGTATGTGCAACACAGAAAGTGGCTCTACCAGCTAAGACAGCATTACCATATTTGTCATGGAAGTCAGGTGTCTGTTTCTGGTGGATCTGCCTTGCCGTTATTTGCTGAATGCTTTGAACTGGGAGATGACTTAGCAGATTATTGGCCAGTGGAAACATTGTGAAGCTGAAGACAGAACTGCAGCAACTGCAGCTGCTGGTTTACTGGAACTTGGTATCTAGTACCCTCAAAAAGAACCTCAATACTTTTTATAAATGGCAAAAGGTTTAGAGAAAGTTCAACCTGAAAAATCTTATTATGGCAAGTAATTTCTAATAACACAAAAGCCTGTAAGAAACAATATTAATTCATTTAAGTTTTACCACTTTGTTATTATCATCCTTTCTGGACTAGTTAAAGAACAGTAGTAAAAAAAACAAGATGCTAGGCCCTCTGTATAATTAAAATGAAACCTAATGATGTTAAAATAAGCTAGAGAACAAACAAAAATGTGACACCTTTTTTATTGGTTTGCTAGTGCCACTGGAACAAAATACCACAGACTGGGTGGTTTAAACAAAGATATTTTTTTCTCTCAGTTTTGTAGGCTGGAAGTCCAAAGATCAGGATCCTGACAGGATTGTTTTCTTCAGAGAGTCAGAGCGGCTTACAGAAGCCCTCTTCCTGGCTTACACATGGCTGCCCTCTTGCTGCCTCTGCATGGGGTTGGCCTTTTGTGCAGTCATATCCCTAGTTTCTCTTTGTCCAAATTTTTTCTTATAAGGACACCAGTCAGAGTGGATTAGGGTCCATCCAAATGATCTATTTTTGACTCAGTCACCTTTTCTTTAATTATTAGTATTATTTATTTTATTTTATTTTTTTTAAAGAGAGAGGAAGGAGTGGGCAGAGCAACATTGATTTGTTGTTCCACTTATTTATGCATTCATTGGTTGATTCTTGTGTATGCCCTGATCAGGGATTGAATTTGCAACCTTGGCATATTAGGATGACATTCTCTAACCAATTGATCTACCTATCCAGGGTCTCAATTGCCTCTTTAAAGGCACTGTCATTGAATACAATCACATTCTAAAGTACTGAGGCATGGGGAGTAAAGGCCTCAACATATAAGGGGGTGGTGCACAGTTCAGCCCATAATTCTACAGGAATTTTTCTAAATTGTCATTCTCCTTCTCTTTACATTTTCAGGTTTGCAAGAAGCCCAGTACCGTTTGGTAACAGAGATACAGAAGCAGACCATTGGGTTGGCTTTGCAAGGTAAAGATGTTCTTGGAGCTGCCAAAACTGGATCTGGCAAGACTTTGGCTTTCCTTGTTCCAGTGAGTAGCTTATTCATATGGGGTCAGATTCTCTACTGTGTGATTTTAAGACATTTGGTGCCTAGATAGAAATACTTAATTATGTCAAGAGTTATTTCATTTTCAATTTCCCTGGCTAGAATGCAAGGTTTATCAGACAGGTATGTTCTTCTTCACCCAGGTCCTAACATAGCACCTTGTACATGTGAACAGTCAATAACTTATTAAATGAATTATTGTGCTTTGACAAAGCAATTATATTCTGTAGATGTGGGCTGTTCCAGGGTGGCAGTTAAAGTGGTTCTGCTCTGCTGTAAGACTGGTGAGGGATACTATTTCTGTGCTCCTCACAAACCTATCAATTACATTTATATTTACCATTTGTTTAGGATAAAATTGAAATATGCTTACGTTGAGAATATTGGGTCACTCCTTGAGAATTTTCTGGGACATCGATATCTGTCCTTTGGAGCACTAAAACAATAGAGCCTCTTAGGAATTTATTTATATTTCAGTTATTCAGTTAGTTTCATAATTTAGTTCCTACAAAATAATTGGCTCAGAAAGAATCACATTTAAGTTTTTGTTTCTAGTATTGCCAAACTGGTTTTCTTTTAAATCCTAATTTTTATAATGATGTCACTCTACAACTGGAAAATTGTCACTGTATAACCACAGTAGCTGCAAAGATGTGAGTTTATTTTAATGTGGTTTCTACTCAGAAAATGATGACACATATTTTTCTGAAATGGTGTGAGGGCTGCACATACTTTTCACTGATTGCTGGTGTCTTCATGGCATGGGTGGAGTTTCTTTTCTCTTCCTTTTATGACTTGGTGGAGGATGCTTCTGGTGGATGGAAGGAAAAACAAAGTAAGCAATTTCTTCTTTCTGATTGGATAATACTTGTGTGTGGTATGCCTTCTCTTTGGAAGGTGCCTTTGATTTGAAGTGGCAAGGTTGATTCAGGAATCAAAAAGCTGTCTTCTCTAAGGACTTGCTGAACATGAATTTGTTTTTCAGGTGTTGGAAGCCTTATATCGTCTGCAGTGGACCTCAACAGATGGGCTGGGAGTTCTGATTATATCACCTACAAGAGAGCTAGCATATCAGACCTTTGAGGTTCTCAGAAAAGTAGGAAAGAATCATGACTTTTCTGCTGGTCTCATCATTGGTGGGAAGGTTTGTCCTTTTGTCTTTGTCCTTATTTCTTTTATTCTATACCTTATGTTGGAGTACTGTGGTAGTTGACTGGAAAGAGTGGGAGATTCATCTTAATAGATAGGCTTGCCCTCTAGATAGGGGGTAGTAACATCCAGATGTAGTCATTGTCATTGAGAGGCTGGTTGTCAGTTTTGTAGGTCCAGAAAGTCCATTTAGTCAGGGTATCTGAATTGATCAAGCTTTGAGACTCATTTACTTTAACCATCCTGTACATCTGTTTGTTAATGTACATGGGGGAAGTTACCATTTCAGTATGCAGACTAATTCCTTTTAATAAGGTACTGTATTTTACGGTGTATAATGCTCACTGTTTTGCCCAAATTTTTGAGGGAAAAATAAGGATATGCATCATACATGAATAATACTATTTTATATCTACATAAATGTTTATAATTCTTTTATTTATGCTTATGCGTTGAAAGTATAATTCTAGAAAGCACTAATGATATCTGTATGTAAAATAATACCCTGAAATACGATAATTGGTTTATTGGTAAATAAATAAAAAATGAATTAAAAAAATAAAATGAAAGATATTTCCCTGAAAGTTAGGGCCAAAATGTGGGTGCAAATTATACACAGGAGTACAGTATACATGGGAACGGTATCTGAGAAGTTGAATAATTCAAAACATAGTTGAGTCAGAAGCAGAAGAAAGGGAGAAAAAAATATTTTAAAAAGGTTTTATTTTATTTATTTTTAGAGAGAGGGGAAGGGAGGGAGAAAAAGAGGGAGAGAAACATCAATGTGTGGTTGTTTTGCATGCCCCAACTGGAGACCTAGCCTGTAACCCAGGCATGTGCCCTAAATTGGGAATCCAACCCATGACCCTTTGGTTTACAGGCTGGTCCTCAATCCACTGAGCCATACCAGCCAGGGCAGGAATATATAGTTTTGAGGAATTTTTATTTTAGGTCATGGTAAAACCAGTGGTTCAACTTCTGCTCTACCTTCTATTATACCTGGAATGTTTGTCTCTGCTAGAGTCTCCCAGTCGATGAAGTACAGTGAGTGGTGTCAGAAAGTCTGTTCATTGCTGCTGAGTCCTGGGAATTATTCTGGTTTTTAAGTTGGTTGTTGCAGTTCGAAGAGGAAATGAAGACTTGGAACATTCATATTTTTCATGGCCTCAAAATCCTGCATATGATTAAGAATCTAGAGGAACTCTGAGCTTTTTAGGTTTTTACTAAGAACTTTTATTTGGCCCAGAAGTTTGGATGTGCTGTAAAAATAGACATTACATACAGTTCTAGAGTACTGTACATTGCTATGATAAAATGCCATATGCAGATGGCTTTTATAGTTTTGCTACACAGGTGCTGCTCAGTGATGTGTCTGTGTAATCAAAAGAAACAACTGTTTTCAGGATCTGAAACATGAAGCTGAGAGGATCAATAACATAAATATACTGGTTTGCACACCGGGTCGGCTTCTTCAACACATGGATGAAACGATATGTTTTCATGCTACTAATCTCCAAATGTTAGGTGAGTCTAATGAATTTCTAATAAAAAAAACTCAAGAGAGAGCCCTCATAAATTGTAATGATAGAAATGTTTTATTCAATAAATATTTTGATGAAACACAACTTGAGAAATAACTTGAAACAATTTTTTGGTATATGGGTTTTAAACCCAGAGAGGACAGCTAGATTTTTTAAAAAAATCAAAATTGGTTGGAAGACTCATATATGAAATAAGATACTTCAGTATGTGATACTAAGATTCTTTTTTATCTTTTAAGGTACCACTGATATTACCTAATGTGCATTCTTAAAAAAAAACATTTATTGATCTCAGAGAGAGAAAGGGGAGGGGGAGAGAGAGACATTGAGTTGTTTTTCCACTTCTCCATTGATTGCTTTTTGTGTGTGCCCTGACTAGGCATCGAATGTACAACCTTGGCACATCAGGTCGATGCTCTAACCAGCTGAGCTACCCAGCCAGGGCTCCTAATGTGTTTTCTTTAAATCAGCTTTTATTTTGGAATCATTCTAGAAAAGTTATTTGTGGAAAAGTTGCAGTGATCATATAGAGTCCCTCTATACCCTTCCCCCAATTTCCTCTAGTGTAACATCTTTATGTAACTGTGGAGCCTTTGTCAAAACTCAGAGATGTACATAATATAAATTGCAGATTTTAGTTGGATTTTACCAGTTTTTCCATTAATGTTCTTTTTCTATTCTAGGATTCAGTCCAAGATACCACACTGCATTTAGCCTAATTTCTATTTTAAATGTAATTCAACTTTCCTTTTTAGTTCTTGATGAAGCAGATAGAATCTTGGATATGGGCTTTGCTGATACAATGAATGCTATTATTGAAAATCTTCCCAAGAAACGTCAGACTTTGCTTTTCTCAGCAACACAAACCAAATCTGTAAAGGACCTTGCACGCCTGAGTTTGAAAAACCCTGAATATGTCTGGGTTCATGAAAAAGCAAAATACAGGTATGCACTATTTTAAACCATATTTGATGCAATCAGAACCAATGTTCTTTCTTTTTAGTTTAAGAATTTGACATTTCAAATTAATACCACTTTTCTAGGAAAGAAAATACCATTTTATGTGTTATTAGATATGCAAAGCATAGTAAATATATTAGTAAAACTTAATTTAAATTCTCTCTGCATTTTTAAATGT